ATGCATGCATTTTCTAAGAGGATCTTATTAGGATTAAGATTTCAGCAAAAAATGAAGTGCTATAGGAGTTATAAAAAATAAAAACAAAGTTTCAAGACAGTTCTTGTAGCAGTAATGGAGGTTTCTAGAAAGATTATAATTTAGGGAAACAACTTCAGATTTACAGAACCTCAGCAATCCAACCTTACCTGCCCTGGGAACAGTTAGGCATAACTCAGGAGATGGTGTCTAGAGTGAATAGAGCCTAATCTATTTTACTAAATGAAAAGATGAATATTTGGTAAACTTCTCTTCCCTTGAATTCAACAGAATAAGAAAAGTTGTAAAGCAAATTCATAACCTGAATTTTTGTTCAAATTATGCTTTTCTTCTGGCATCAGCAAGGAGTTTTACAAGTTTTTTTGCAAAGAGTAATCAAGGACCACTGAAATTTGAATTCTGAGGGTTAACCTCACTGGAGTATATCACTTTCTAATTCAAAATTAGATTAAGGTCTAAGAAACAAAACCATTTTCTTTGGTTTATGCTCAGCTACACTGGACTAGTGAATTTTTATTCTAAGTCAAACTTCTAGCTTCAGTTCAAATTCTTAAGATTTTTTTTTAATCCTAGCCTCTCCACAGTCCTCAAATTATTTTTGTTAAAAATAAGAGCTTGGTCATAACACGGTTCCCTGCTAAACAGTCCTGTGTATATATACTGGCATGAAGGGTAGAATTTTTGTACAATAATTACAGTAAGTGATATCTCCAATGGCAGAAATACAAAAGAGACCAAATGAATGTCTCTTCTAATGACATTCGGGTTTACGGTGATCTTAAAAAAAATCCACAACGTCTAAGCATAGTAAAACACAGTGTAAAAATCCTAAAATTAGACGGTAAACATGGGAATCCTGCACTCACAGTAGAAACATACTGCACAGCATTAATATGAAAGCCTGTTAAATTCAAAACAATGCAGACAGCCAGATTTACCTGCATGTAAATGCCACTTCCAGGTGTTTAAACAAACACAAAAATGAGACAACAACGTCAGGAAAAAGGCCTTTAAAACAGGCCAGCCTAACTTGACTTTCCAAGTAAGAACACCAGCTTCACAAAACTGTGATACTAATGCAGTTTTATGTAAAGTACCCTCTGACACAGCTTATTTGACAGCTTGTATCACAGTCTTTTCTTGATCTCCCCCATTTTAAACAGTTAGGGAGAACAGTCAATAGAAGCTCAAGTTTTAGTTCGGGAAGTACCTTGTCTGTTTGCAGAGGAACATCGTAACACCATAAAATTATATTTTTATGGTATTGATAGAACCGATAAGCTAGTGTCATTTCTGTTCTCTCCCGGACCCGTCAGTTCCGGACCTTGCTTTCCACGCGTCTCGGCAGTAGCGTTCCAGGCAGTGTCTCAGGAGGTTTCCTCTGCGGACTACCTCACGTTGTTGCTGAGCTGCGCCAGGTACTCCCGCAGCTCCTTGGCGGCCTGGAACCTTCCATAGCGCTTCTTTGGGTTGGCGCACTCGTCCAGCAAGGCCTCGAGGCGGCCGTCTTTGGCAATGGCGGCAGGGGGGGCGTGGGGCAGCCCTCCCGAGGTGCCCCGCCACGTGGCGTGTCGCGATAAGAGGTTCTGGCAAACCGCGTAATAGTTGTGGTCCACCGTGACGCGCGCGCACAGAATCTCTTTTGAGAAGGACAGGCAGGCTTCTTTATCACAGTCATCAAATTTGCTTTCATACCATACATCCCAGTTTTCAGGTTTATCTGTGAAATATCAGACAGCAAAAACGGAAAAAATACAGAGAGGTCAGAGAAGAAGGAACACGGGCACAGCTCTACACAACCTAGTGCTCAACACAAAGCTAACTGGTGAGATTTAAAATCCAAAGCAACTTTGTTCGGGTGCAATCTGGAACGTTCTAATTTTTTTCAAATCTCACCTGATTTGCCTTCCTGGTGAAACAGTCCTGGCATTATAAAAATACCAGAAAGACATAAAGAAAGGATAATATAAATAGCTAAAGAGAAGGAAGTAAAAACAAACAAACAGAACATGCGTGCGCGCACTTGCTACCACACAGAAAACACAAGAAATCCCCATGCGCACACATGGCCAGAGGGGAAAATGAAGCACAAACAAGTACAAGAAAATGATTCACAGCTGGAGTCAAGAGAGGAAAAAAAATACAACCCACAAACATGATCTATTTTAACAGCAACTAGATTTAGTTGTTCCAGTTGCCCTGTGAACTAATACTTGCAAATGATCTACCAAAGAATAAAAACTCCCATTAACTTCTGAAACACTATCTGCCAATTCTCACACTGGAAAGGTAGTTACTAAGTGCAGTGCATATTAAAAAGCAGATGTATTACATATAATATCTGAAAAAAAAAGATTTGAGCAAAACAAATTACATTTACGAACACAAAAAACACGTCTCTACATATAAAAAATAAAAAGGCAACATTTTAATCTACAACTACAAAGATAATAATGAACACAAATACAAAACTGAACAGAAACTTGAGCTCATATATTATGATAATGCCTTGGTTTTATCCTGGAGTTTCATTGTATCTAGAGATAAGTGACCTGAACATTCACAAAAGACTGGAATATCAGCTTAAAATCCTTTCTAAGGCTCCTAAGAATTATGCCTTGCAGACTTAGAACAAGTCAGACAGCTCAGGGAACCACTGCTTGTTGCTCTATACATGCAGAAACTTCTGCTAGAGCTAAAATAGTTGTCTTGCCACAAAGCCTTCTTTAACTGGAAACCTCATTCTACAGAAAATAGCTTGACAATAATGAATAAGTGTGAAACCTCCTCAACTGTTCCTATTTTCTGACTGAAAAATGTAAATGAAATTTTTCTTCCTACATTGTTGGGTTACTGCCAGGTTTGAGAAGTTGTCCTTTTCAGGAAGTCTCAGAGTTTTTGCAAATCTCTTTAGGGACTGAGATACACAGAGAAATGTACTGGTTTAAATGTACTAGGTTTTGCTAGTGTCGGGGCTGGCTATTACTGTATTCATTTATGGTGCACTGAAGTGGCCTAGAAAAAGCTAGTGAGGGCTGACTGCTAAAACTATAAAGTGTCAGGTAAAGTACAGTGAACAGCAAACCTGGAATGAGGGAAAAAAAAAAAGCCAGTAATAAAAGAGTGGGGAAAAAGTGACTCAAGCAAACTCAACTATGATACCCAACACAGAAGCAGGATTAGATATTTCACTGCAGCACCATTGGACAAGATTGTACATACTCAGATATCTAAACAGACATATTAATCACTCTGGACAGACTGATAACGAAACTTTTCAGGAGATTAAGGAAGTCAGTATTAAATATTAAGATTATACTAAAACTGAGAACTTTAATTTTTTTTCATTTTCTTAGTTAATTATAAATGATGCATCAAAACCTCAATTAGACCCAACATGATTTGAGAGCCACACACAACAGATGCAAGCGTGAGACTTTCCAGATTCAGTTTCTGCAGACATTAATTACTCCTATTCCACACAGGAATCAGTGCTTTCAGAGTTCATTTAAACATCTTTGCAATCCAGCAATTCAGACATTTTAAGAGAGTGGAGGGAAAAAAAATGCAAATATTTGTGTGGCTATGAGTGCTAAAGTAAATGTGCTGGATAATCAGTACATTAAAAAGGTTTCTTTGTGTACTCCAATGACTTTAATCTAAGTTCTGTGAGAATGCATAATAAGTCTAATATGAAATAGATAAATAAGTAAACCTTACTTCCTTTAGAAGAGTGCATGAAGAGAGAACATGGTCTTAAAATTAATTCTGCAACTCAGTACATGAAGTCTGCTTGCAAAGCTTTACAAAAATCCATTCACTCAAAGCAAATTGGAATTGCTTGGCCTACTGCCAAAAACTCCTGCAGAATCTACGACTTCGCATTCAGTATTTCCAGCCTCCAGGTTTGTAAAGTTTTCCACATAAACTTAAAAGAAATATCAGCCCATGTAATGCTACTTTGTCAAACACCTATCTTGTTACTGCTGCTTTGAGCTTTTTACAGTTGACAAAAAGATGAACTGATTTTCACTATTCTAACCTGGAAACAGCACTAAAATCACCCATTCCTTCACTTCCATTACAGCAGAGCAGAGGCAAGCTAGGTAACTGGGGGCAAATGGCAGTAAGATGTCATTCACCGAAAGGGGAATACCAAGGGAATACATACTGACAGACGTCTGGAAAAACAAGAGCACTCTCTCTATTTTTATTAAGGTAGTGCAGGCAGTTGGGCCATTTCTCTGCCTGTCCACTGTGTGTCCAAATCCTCCACTCTGCTAGACCCATTTAAACAGGAATACAGACATTAAAAGTGTATGTAAATCAAATTCAGGTAATCTCAACACTTTGCATAACTGACAAATTAGTTAATCTAATTAGAAGTCTATTTGTCATATAAAGGTAATTAGTTGTTGAATAAAGCCACTATGACAAAATGGGTTTTAGCAACTACATATACTTTAAAAATAATTTGTGATTACAGAGATAGAAACAATAGAAATGAGGGGGTGAGGGGAAAAGAGAAGAAACTTACTCTGTCTGATTAATCTTTTGTCTGCTACCAGAACGTTTTCTGCATCTACAATGATAACTTTCCCATCTCTTGGTCCAACTGCAAAGTTGTCAAAGCTGACATCGAGGAGGTAGAGTGCAAATTCAAAGTCATTATTTGTCAGCTGCTCAGCTATTTCCATTAACTGCCAGGCCAGATCCACTCGCTTCTCCCATGGCGCATTAAAGTAACTCCACAGCTCTTCTCCAACGTAATTGACAGCCACCATTCTTCCGCATGCTCCCAAGTACTTTGCAAACGGCCAACCTTCATCCGACGGAAAACTCTGTATATAAAAAAAAGTTTCATTTTCATTAAAATAAATCTCATGCTTGCAATTACAATTTTTTTTTAAACTATAAGCTAAAAAAGAAAAAACAAGGTTAAAACTCTTCCTGGTTTTCCCCCCCAGTTGACTGGCTTCCCATTGAGGATCCTCTCACATGGAGATCTCCCAGAAAGGAATGCAGAACACACTGAGGTATAACAAGAAGTATAGGATTTTCTCTGCCTCTAGCACTTCCAACAATCCATCGCTTGATGAATTGCCATATATGAACTTTGTGTGCATGTTTGCATGCATCTGTACACAGGCATTATACAAGACCACATAAAATGGTAATAATAAAATCTTTCGCCATTAGTAGCTTTCTTGGAAATTAAGCCAAGAGACAGAATACTAAGAATATGCTACAAGCAACCAAAAAAATATATATATCTTTGTATTTCAGTTCTGTTGAATGTGTCCAAAACCTTCAAAATGAACATACTCAAGCACTGAAAATGTATCCTCCAGAGTATGCATCAGGACAAAATATCAGAAAAAATGAAGATCAAAAACCCCTAGATTGTTAAGCTGGATACTCCCTAGGAGCAAAGTGCACACTAACTTTAACTATTAGTAAGTATTTGTAGATGCTACCCTTCCTTTAGCGGTACCCCTGTCATGTCACCAGATGACAACTCAACCAGCTTTGCAATGCTAACGCAGCAAAGGTTCTGCCACATGGGTTGAATCACAGCAGGGCTTCAGCCTGAATGGGAGCTCTAGACCAACTAGAATACAGGACGGCAGAGCAGCTGTGGTAAACGGAGAGAAGGGTCACAGGAAGGCACAGAATAGAGCAGCCCACTGCTCACCAAATGAAAAAAAATACTAGTAAGAGGGGTTACCTACGCAATCATCATAACCTCGAAATTCTTATCTCCCTTAAATAAAATTAAAATTTGCTGTATCTGTGCCTCCTTTGACAACAAAGCTTTGATCGTTTTAAGGACTAGATATCAAACAACTCTTTGCCGAGGTTGGAGCACTTATATGGGCCAGAAACACTAGAAGTTCTGCAAAACACTAGGAACTGTATTCCACATTCATCCCCAAGAATTAATATTTCTTCTGAAAATGAAAATAGAGAAGTTAAAGCTACATTTGATACAAATACTACACTGACAAATTCAAGAACTAGAAGTCTTCCCCCCCCAAAAAAAAAGTATATAGTTTTGCTCAGATGATGATAGTCCATACAGTAATGAAAGACACGCTCTGTACTCATTACACACAGAACTTGCTTGCATATCTCACTAGCTTTCTGTGCAACCACACTCCCACAGCACGAGGCAACTTTGATCACAACTACTTCTTAATTGGCTTCTTGCTGAAAAGTTTACTGGATCAATGAAGCCCCTGGCATGACACAAGATCATAGGTCTTCTCTACTTGTTAAAATTCACTCCCGGTAAGTACACAGGAAGAAAAGGCAAAATAAGGAGACCGGCTGGGCACCGCAGCAATGGCTTCTATTGACTGAATCCGATCTCGAGGACTTCATGACACTTGCGGCTCTCGCTGCGACTGCGGCACGAGTTCAGCGGGCACACAGGGTGCTCCCCTCCGCCCTCTTTCCATAGGTCCTTAAGACAGAAGGAGAAGCTTCAGGAGAGGTTTCTGCTCTGCTGGCACATTCCTTGCCAACTCTGACTCAGCCTTCTCTGTTTTCATTGTCATACAATCAAAATGCATGGAGGAATTATTTAATCTTACTCCAAACGTGCACATGTTAAATGATGGTGAACTTTAGCCTCTTCCCCGTTGTGAGATCAGGAGCATCTCCATGTACCTCATAGCCCTCCTGCACATAAGGGCAGCCTTGGCTCTAGACCCAGGCACCTTCTCGCATCACCGAATTTCTTCCTCTACTAAAAATGATGTTATTTAGCACCAAAGCTTAAAACAAACACTATGCATCCCTCCCAGCCTGTCAAACACTTGCATTTCAATCCCCTCCATGTCTCCAAGAAAGCAACACAGCTGGAAATTGTCTTATTTACTGAGCTGGGATTCAGCTGGATGAGCACCCGGATCCCGGCTGTCCCATTTGTGCCCGTCCTGGCCAAGGGAAGGGGCCAACCCAGCTGCTGCAGGGAACAGAGCAGGGCAAGGGGACCGGTTCCTCCCAGCAGCAGCAGCACCAAGTTATAAAATGGATTAAACTGATTATGCCAGTCCAGCATTAGCCACAACTGTGCCCCGATCTCAAAAGCACACGTATTACATGCCCTGCAGTGCGCACCCAAAGCCGTTTCACACGAGAAACTCTAGGAGCAGTTCAGTTTATCTAGAAGTGAACCTCAGCAATACCACAGCATCTGCACGCCCTAATGTAACACAGATATATTTATAAGTCTGCGGCAATAAAAAGTTCTTTTGACAACAGGAGTACAGGGAATCCTGCCAACATCTGCACATGTACAAACATCTCTGTGCTGGCTCCCTTCCAACCGGCTGCAACAGCCACATCTACACTTCATTACCCGAGTCGGTAGCTGAAGAAGGGATAAAAATACGTACAAGCACCCCATTCACCAGCTTCACATTCACACGGTGAATTTGGCAAGAATATTAATTGAAGTGCAGATATGTTGTCTTGGTAGGCAAAGATTTGTACCTTTTTGTACTATTCTCATTCACGAGCTTTTTTCTAGACTGAACTGCCGTTTACAGGAAGATTCTCCCCCTCCATGCATCACCATTTTAACCAGCCAGTCACACACAAACACAGGTTTGCCTGGCCATTAAACAGGGTTTCCACAAGCAAGTCGGATTGAGAAGAAAAAGTTTAATTAAGTAGCTGCCAAAAAACCTCAAAAAACTCAGACTGTTGCACAGAATTAAGGGCATAGTTCTTATTTAAACTCTCAAGCAGCATAAAGACTTGATTAAACAGATCTATCCTTGAATACACTGGCCAAAGACTAGTTAGCAAAGCCTGCACATTTGACAATTCAGATAAAAAATATAAGGTTTTGTTCAGAACTTTGGAACAGCTATTTGATGAAAGAGTCTACAATTCCGATACACCCACTCACATTCTATCTGAGAATATACACACAAATGCCATGGAAACCACAGACAAACAGGCTTTTAAAAGATTGAAAAAATACCGTAGTGGACACTGAAAACTACAAGCTGGTAGTTTAGTAAGCTTTCCCCATTAAAGAAGTTGCTATTTTCTCTATTCGAAGAGCAGGGTGCATAGCAGTATGCATATTATATAATACATATAAAATGTATATTTGCTTAGCAAAGATGGAAAATGTAAACACGAGAAAACTCCAACTATAAAAAAAAAATACTTTTAATACCCTAGAGTAGCTAGGGTCTTTGCTTAGAGACATGACATCTCTCTAAGCAAAGCTCTAAACCCTAAACAAATCCTGTCAAAGGGACAAAAGACACTTTGTTCCTAACAATCATATTGCATTTTTGTCTTAAAAAGGTAAAACAAAAAAGCATGTTGTGGTTTCCAAAGAAATACTGGTAATTAATACAGTGAATTTATCATTTTACTTGAGCATAAAACACACCAATAGCTCATTTGTCTTCCTCACTCCCACCCGTCTCAACATGAGCCGAAGCTCAAATCTTCGGCTGCTGTTGAATGCTCAGAGCTGTGAATTACATTAGGTAGTAAAGGCTCAGCAGCTTCAAGCTGATAAAGCTTATTGTAGTCTGCAGTAACAGCAGCAAAAAAAAGCCTCTGAATCAAAATCTCTAAAGAATACCCTTCACAGAATCAAACCTACAATTCATCTTAATAAAATCCACAAAAAGATGAAAAGGTGACTACTTATACCTCTAAACTATTGTTCCACCATAACATTAAAAAACAAAACGCCCTTTCCATTAGAAAAACTACTCTAGAATTTGCTACATGACTTCTATTTTTTTAATAAAGTGATTTAAAAGAAAACCACACCACACACACAGAGTTCGCCACACATCTGGCATACGACAAAATTGAACAATATTCCCAAAGCAGAGCAGCAACTTTTCCTGCTGCTCATCAGGACCCTGAAGGTCCTGATGGAAATGTTACCCCCTTTGTAAAACCTTTTTTAAAAACTATCATATTAAACTACATTTACTGGGGCACAAACTGGCACAGTAAGAGGAATTTACATAATATGCTCTTCCTCAAAAGGAAAAAAAATTTAGTTCTCTCCCAGAGCACTGTTGATTCTGCAATGTAAACAGACTTATTTTAGCCACCAAGGCAAATGAGCACAACTCTGCAGCCACACAGACTTGGAGATCAGGCTTTACAAAGCAAAGTTTCAGATCTAAAGGAGGTTTAAAAATAACCTAAAAGCAGATGCCTTCTTTTATTGAAATGCAATTTAGAATATACACATGCAAAAGTATTTGTGGATGCTGGTATGTGTGTCTATATAACAGAAACAATTTGACTTTCAACCGCAGGCCAAATCATTTACCATTCACCTGAAATGCCCCCAAAAGTCTGCATATGAACCCAACAACACACAGAGGAACAGATCTCATTCAATAACCACAATACTAGTGTTCCCCACTGAAACCAGGTTATTTGAGTTTGGGGCTTTTTGTTTTTTAGCTTTCAACCAGCTACTAAATACAATTCATAACAACAAGTGGAAAATATCAGGTTTAACTTCCACACAATAGAACAAAAACATGCCAGGAATTTTAAACATAAACCACCTCAGAAGTTCCTCAACAATTAAACTGCCCGTAAACTTTACGGCTATAGTTGAAGTATGCTATTTCTTGATACAAACTAATAGATTATGATCAAATGTAAGGATAGGGGAGAAAACTGAATGCTGTGAATGGTTGTTACCTATTCACAACAGTTTTCAGTTTGACAACATAGCTGATAATCATTACCTAATTCTCAGGTTACGGGTTAGGGATACATGACTACAAAGAAATCATAGCAGAACTGGCCTATACCTACTTCTAAAAATTAA